ATCGCCCCATAGACGTTTGCAAGAAGGAACTAAACCGTCGCGACTTGTGACGAAGGAAGAAGGACGCGGGGGGCCCAGGGGGGGGAGCGGGGCCGGGGACACACACGCCATACACACGTCACACGCCACGTCACGGACCTTGAACACGGTAACGTAAAAACACGCTACGGACATGCTTCACGTGACGACGGGAAAATAAAGGAAGATGCGGAAAAAAAACCACCAAACCCAAATTGACCTTCTCCCCACCCCCCCAAAAAAACTAGAAATCGTACCTTTTTGAGCCAGACTCCGTACGGCTCGTACAATGGCCGTACACTGCACCACCCTGGATCCCGAATCACCCTCTGCAGCACTGTTCCAATTCGCGCGTTGGGGTCGTTGAAGAGACCCCAGTGCTGGAGGGGGGAGGAGGAGTTGGAGCAATCCACGCGGGGGTCCTGAGCCACCTCCCCAATCACATCTACGACGGGGGGAGTGGGGGGGGGTTTGGGGGGGGGTTTTGGGTGGGGTTTGGATGGGGGAGTGGGGGTGGGGGTGGGATGGGGGAGTTGGCGTGGGGGAAGGGGGGGAAGACGAACCACGAGCGAGTGAAGCTGATGCCTAGGGAATGCTGCTCCGGCAGACGTGAAGAAAGCATAACTAACCAGTCGGGGGGTGAGAGGTGAGGGGAGATGGAGGGCATGGGAGGGACTTACGAAGATGGCTGAGCGGGAGGGGAATGGCAGGGCGGGGGGAGGGGGAATGGTTTTGAATACCCACCGGGGGGGTACGGATCAGGTCGTCCATGCAACCCACCATGAGGTGGAGGACAACACGGGGGGCACTGTGCTACTGCTAGGGCTACTGCTACGGCTACTGCTACTGCTACCGCTACCGCCGCCACGAGGCTTCGCAAGAACATTGTACAATGTTATTTGTGTGTAAACACCCCTTCAACTCACTACGCATTCCGTACATTACCTCGTACATTACTCCTCGTACATTACTACCCACGAAGTTGCCCCTGAAGATACTGACACACTACAAAAACTATGGATCAAGAAGAACAAAGCAATTGTATCAGAACCATTAAATACTTCATGGTCGAACATTAAGCTAAAAAAGTTTAAAGATCGTTTCTCTAGTGATGGCTAATACCTTGAAATGTACGACATACCCGCAATCGTGTCGTTGATGCATGCCATGGGTTTTTTCCCCAGCGCCGGGTCTTTGTGGTCCACCGTGTACTTCAACACCGCCAGACTCATAGCTCTCAGCCACCGCCAGTAGCGAGGGTCCGAGGATAGCGGGCGCAGAGCGTGTTTTCTGTACGACATGTCGTGCTCTAGCCGGTTCATGTCCAGGGAGGGGCCAACCACTACCCCGGGGAAGCTGGACTGCCGGCTGAGACTCTAAGCGTGCGTGTTTCGTGTGCCGTAATCCGTGTGTGTGTGTGTGTGTGCGGGGGTGGGGGATGGAGGCAATATGGGGCGGGGCGGCGCGGGGCGGAGGGGGGGAGTTAGGCGAACCAGTGGGGTGATTGGCGCGGGGAAAGCGGGGGCTGGGGCGGTTGTGTGGGGGAAGAAACGGGCCCTGCTGGGAAATTATTATGTGCGAGGAGAAGACAGTCGGCAGCCGGGGTTCCAAACGGTAGGGGTGCGTGTATGTGTGTATGTGTATGTGTGTACATATGTATGTATGCATGTATGTATGATGTGTGAAGCAGGGGGGTATGTCTTCGCCCGTGGCAGCTACCCTGCGAAACCCTGCCTTCCCCGGTATTTCGGGGCACCCTCATCCAGTCACCCTAGTCAACTTCTCAGTGGATCGCGCAGGTTCCGCACCCACCACCAGCATCCAACGGAATCTGCCGGGTCGACAGCGGCCCAACTCCACTCCTGGTCGGCTCGCGGGTTAACTTCATCCCAGGTCACCACCGTCCATCAACTAGGGGCGCAATACCTTCCACCTTCGGAAGGATTTTCGACCCTGACAGGTCTCGATCCCGGGATCTCCCGGGGGCAATGGTCACGCGTTACCAGTAGTTCCTAACCTATGTATATATGTGTGTATGTATGTATATATGTATGTATGCATGTATGTGACATCATCCAGGTCAGGCCCTCCCTCCGCAAACCACCATGCCCACGGGGCTACCGACCCCCCACCCCCACCCCCCTCCTCCTCCTCCTCCTCCCCACCCACCGTAACGGGCACATGGGTGGCGTCACTCAGCGCCTGAAGCAAGTCCTGTGTGGGTGGTCAGGGCTCGCGTATATGTGTGTGGGGAAAATATAACATAATATAATGCAATACATTACAGTACAATATAAGGGCCCCTGCTTTCCCCCACTCTCACTTGCTCCAACATATCCTCCAGCTGCTTGAGTTTGCCCTCCTGGACCTCCCCCTCAATTCGCTGACTGGTGGGCGCATAGCAATTCATGGGCTGCGGAGGGGGGAAGGAGAGGAAAGGGGGGAGGAGAGAGGAAACGGGAGACGGGTATGAGGCGAGGGGGAGAGGATTAGGACACCGGCACGGTAAATGCCGCCCTGCTCGCGGTCTACGGAGGGCCTGGGAGGCGCGAACGGCAGCAAACCTTTTCCGGAGAGAATCGCGAGCGTAAAGAGGGCGGGGAAGAAGAGGGGATGGGAAGTTGACCACGCGCGGTAGCAAGGGAGAGAGGGCCTGGCAAGGAGAGGAGCCGAGGATATACCTGCCAAATCACCCCTCGCGCATAAGCATCGGGGCCCAGTAGCTCATAGAGGTTGATGGGGACGGCAGCATCCGGCAAACGCCTCTGCAAGTAAGATGGTTAGGGTGGATGCAGCGATGCAGAACGCGTCTGTCGGTTCTAAGGCAAGCGATATTATAAGCTGCTGTCGATACAAAACGACATATTCTGATGTGATGAACACGTAGCACGTGCTAAGGACGCACCATCCGTTTTGGGCCTCTGTCCGCAAGTGCAACATCCGCAGCTCCAGCAATTACCAGGAGCAGAGAGAAAAGAACGCGCTGTCCTTTAGCACGATTAGTAGCCTTTACAATTGCTGGTATCATTGTTGACCACATACAGTTACACCAGAAACGTAGCACTCGTTTGTGACTTAACCGCAACCGAGAACAGAAGTAGTCTGTAAAACATGTAAGAGTGATCGAACCTATATAATTCACAATTTAAAATGCTAGATTGCGCATGTTCATGCCACGCGTCGGTTCTCTCCTTTTTAAGCTTGAGGTGGCAACAGAAGATGGCTGGTAAGTTATATGACTGTGGTGTTCATACAATGCCCATGTTGAAGTGCGGTGGTAAAGGGACTGGAGCTGTTGTTGTCCTCGTACAGCTGTTGTTGTCCTCGTACATGACAGCTGCCATTACACCGAGAGCTGTCCTGGAAACTCCTTTGCAATTTTTGCTTGCATGCCAGCCTTTCAAAATGAGCAAGACATTACAGCATGGGCCCGCCGGTGACGCATTTCGCCAAGCTAAAAAACCATACTACGCATGTGTCCTGCTGATGAATCGGACTGCTGACGACTAGAGGGTAGGACACAAGGTCGGCGAGAGCAATTCTTTGGACTGCCCCGGTCGCACAATTCCTGTGCTTCCCTAATTTGACACCCCGAACAGGCTAATTCTGATTTTCAGAATGTCCCTGCCAGGCCAATTCAAGGGCCTGTCCCGGCAAATTAAGTTGTCCCCGGTGTAGCCCCAGTGCCAATTTAGACCTTTGTACCGAGCAGTGTCGACAAATTGCGGGGTCGGCCCGGAAACTCTTAGGCAGGCATCCAGAATCGAGTTGAAGGAACTTTATGAAACTCTAAGGTTACAAGTTACAAGTTCTGCACACAAGTGCGGGTGTGTTCATAAAAGACGGGGCCCCCATGGATGTTGTATTGGTATTGATGCGGGTACACAGGAGGTCATCATCATTCTCTCTCGTGCTTCAGGGTGAAGCGCCTCAGCACAACATGCCTGGCCTCAAATTTCCGAGAGGTACCTGGCCAATGCCAGGGGGCGCCTCAGTCATAATGGTCGCATGCGGCACCCCTTAAAGACTAGGTCACCATCATACTTAGCCTGTACACTCTTGTAAGCGGGACATTCATTGAAAACATGCAACTCATCTTCAACCACTCCACAGTCACAAAGCCTGAAAGGTACACATGGTGTGCTCATGCCCATTAGGCATTTTGACCTCTAATTCCCAACAGCCTAACGCAGGCGGCTGGCAGAGGTTAAAGCCTGACTTCTGCTCCCGGCCGACCCGGGTTCAGATCCGCCTGCCGACCTCTCGGGTGTTAGAGAGGTAATGAAATGGGAGGTGGGCCCCCATCTTGTGGACGGTGTAGGACGTGATAAAATCAACTTGCGAGCTGATCAGGGACTAGGTTGATGCGCCATTGATCTGTTAAATTTGGTTGGATGCTGGTGGTGAGTTGCTGAACCCAACGAATACACTCTGAAGTCGGATGGGGTAAATGGATTAGGGTGCCCTCTTTCAGGGGAGAGCAGGGACTGCCTCGGGAAAAGGGGCCACTGGCGAAGTTAACCACCCTGTAACAACATAAAGCCTAACCGGAAATGCATGAGCACATGATATAGTCGCTGGAACATGGTCACTTTAGTGTGCTCAACCAATCAAGATGCACACCCCTAGGCAAACTCTGTAAGGGTAGCACTTACAAGTATCTCTCATGTGTACCGTGTTGGTTTCGATTCCGTACTACATGGGCCAGGAAGTGGCAGGAACCCTACATGCCTGGTTACTGTACTCCATACTCATTCATCATACATTCATTGTGTGTGTGAAAGACCCCACCCGAACCGACCTGAACCAGAGGTGTGTGTGTATGGCAAGCCGCTCACAGTTTTGACAAACCGACCGTTCGTTCGTTCGTTTGTTTGTTCGTTTTACAGGATAGGAAGTGTTGAGTTATGATGTATTTTTTTAACAAAATATTGATAACTCAACATGAAAAAATGTATCATAACTGTCTATTATTTATAGGGTTGGTCGGAAGTTTAGGTTTAGAAAATAATTTAGATGCCATCTAATTAGATTTCTATATAGATTTTAGATGAGGCCATCTAAACCCTTTAGGTGGGCATCTAAACGTATCTAGTCCATCTAATGCCTATCTAAAGGCCGGTGACCGGATCCAGACCGTTCAAACGTGAGCGTGTCTTAAGCGTAGTGTGTGTTCGGAAGGCCTGTGAGGTGTGTGCCCTCATGCGAGTGCCCCCACCCCAGTCTGGGGGCAAGGACAACTGACTGCGTGACGGGTGTGTAGAGGTGAAACCCCGTTGTCGCCAGTCGAACAGGCCGGCAGAACAGAGCCCGACAGCTTTGCATCCCAATGCGGGCATTTCCCGCATGTTGGCATGTGTACTTTGGTGGTTCCGTTTGCGGTTGGGCCGACGGTTGGGCCGCGGGGCGCCTAATTACACCCCGTGGCGCCATCCGACACGCGTCTGTAGAGCGCCCATAGGGGTTCGCCGTGTTCCCAGTGTCGAGCGGCCCAAAAAATTATTGGAAAATCCAGGAAAAGATAAAGCCGCATCGTGTGCAAAATTTCAGGTCAAAATTCCACCGTTTAGGCAGTTTTCCGTTTGGCCATCTAAAGATTTACCTAATTAGATTAGGTATCTAATTACATTTCTAATTTGATACTTTTCCATTTAAAGATTTTGCCAAACCTAATTATTTAGGGTGCATTTCCAGTGCGGATTAAGACCAGGGATTAGGGCACGGAAGTCCTTGGTACGAGCTTACCACACAGTTTTGTTCCATAAGGGAACCAAAGGTTGAAAAGGCGAGGTAAGTTTGCCAACAACTTGGCCGTTTGAGCAGGTATCGATGGAGGACAGAGGGTTAATCCCTGGCCTTAATCCGCACTGGAAATGCACCCTTAGTTTAAGTAATTTTTGTAAAATTTATCTACTCGAATATATCAATGAATTTGATCCGCTAACAGGTGAAAATTTTAGAAAATTAGAAAAAGCTATTATTTATGCTAACTCTCACTTTGTTACACCGGCTTCGTTCGTTCGTTCGTTCGCTCGTTCGTTCGTTTGTTCGTTCGTTCGTTCGTTCGCTCGCTCGTTCGTTCGTTCGTTCGTTGGTTTTACAGGATAGGAAGTGTTGAGTTATGATGTATTTTTTTTACAAAATATCGATAACTCAACATGAAAAAATGTATCATAACTGTCTATTATTTAGGAAGTAATTTTTGTAAAATTTATCTACTCGAATATATCAATGAATTTGATCCGCTAACAGGTGAAAATTTGAAAAAATTAGAAAAAACTATTATTTATGCTAACTCTCACTTTGTTACACCGGCTTCGGTTCATTCATTCGTTGATTCATTCGTTCGTTCGTTCGTTCGCTCGCTCGCTCGCTCGTTCGTTCGTTCGTTCGTTCGTTCGTTTGTTCGTTCGTCGTTCCTTCGTTCGTTCGTTCGTCGTTCCGTCGTTCCTTCGTTCGTTTGTTCGTTTGTTCGTTCGTTTGTTTGTTTGTTTGTTTGTTTGTTTGTTTGTTTGTTTGTTTGTTTGTTTGTTCATTCAGACAAGCAGACATATCCACACAACTTGCCTTTCAGCCCAGCTAAGGGCTCCTGGCACCCAACCATATGACATGTGTTCAAAAAAAATGACCCAATCCTGGCACGGCACAGAATGGACCTTCTATATAGCCTGTACATGTTCACCTTTAAGTAACAGGCTGGGTGCCTGGGCTGGCTTTCCGGTAGTGATGCAGGAGCCTCAGGGTGAGGCTTCACCTCTGGAGGCAAGTGGCAACCTGCCTACAAGCCGTGTGAAGCAGTGAAGGGTTGATGCTGGTGTCTGGTCCGTGCAGCATGGCCAACCCTTGGCCAACCCATCTGCAACAGTGGTGATGACACCTATCATGGCTGTACCCACTTTGCACACACTTTCATGCCCTGCTGCGGCTGCTGATGCTGGCACTGGCAATGGTGTGATTGTGGACTCCTGGCCACCTGGTGGCCCTGCAGGCATGTTGCCGTGGACCACAGGTGACAAAGGCAGTGGCTCCACAGGGATAGCATGGATCATGCATTGCAAGGGCCACCAGTGTATATCAGTGGGCCCTTGCAGCTCCCCCTGCTGCCCACTCACTGATTTGTCTGCTTCCACACCACATCCAGGGCCACAGGCCCTGGATGTAGTCCTATCCGCTTCACCATGCCATTCTGGGTCATCACTTGTGGCCTCATATGCAGGCCAGGAGCAGGCTGCTATACTGCACAATGTGTATCCCCAATGTGTATCCCTGAGCCACCAATACTGTTGAGACCCCATCCTGGTGCAGACCAGCCACCTCCAAGGACAGCAGCTCTCGAACTAGCAGAGGTGAAGCCTCATCCTGGGGCTCTTGCATCACTACCGGAAAGCCAGCCCAGGCACCCGCAGGCCTTTGCTGCTCATGTGGCTCCAGCTGCACGTGCTGTTGTTCAGGCCAATCACCCAACTGCCTAGCTGCAGGCAGTGGAGACAAGCTGTGACCTGCTTATGAGCCGTATGGAGCAGTGAAGAGTCGACACTGGTGTCTGGTCCATGCAGCACAGCCAAGTGATGATGACACCTACCATGGCTGTACCCACTTTGCACACACTTCCATGCCCTGCTGCAGCTGCTGATGCTGGCACTGGCAATTGTGCAATTGTGGACTCCTGGTAGCCCTGCAGGCATATTGCCATGTTGGTTCCACAGTCACTGCTCCACATGGCTCATAGGCAGGTCACCACTTGTCTCCACAACACCCAACCACAGCTGTGAGCACAAACCTGAGGTGATGCCGGTGGAAGAGTCTGCAGCTCGGCAATTGGGTGATTGGCCTGAGCAACAGCAGGCACAGGCTGGAGCCACATGAGCAGCAAAGGCCTGGTGGTGCCTGGGCTGGCTTTCTGGTAGTGATGCAAGAGCCCCAGGATGAGGCTTCATCTCTGCTAGTTTGAGGGATGCTGTCCATGGAGGGGGTGGCTGGTCTTGTAACGACACAAATGCCAATTTGAGCATCCCCGGTTACGCCTTTGCTGTGTTACAATGGTATCGAGAGGGGACCGCATGACTTCTGTAACAAACTTCGGGTCGGCGGTTAGACTGTGGCAACCAGCATGTCGCAAATTGGCGATTTCATGGTGTAGTGGATAAACCAGCGCACTGGCGCGAGGTGGGATGGCTCCTGTGCTCGAAATAATGGCCGAGGACATCCATTGCTAAGTGGGGGGCAATGTAACGACACAAATGCCAATCTGAGCATCCCGGGTTACGCCTTTGCTTACGCCTTTGCTGTGTTACAGGTCTGCACCAGGGTGGGGCCTCAGGGCTCAGGGTACATATTGTGTGATATAGCAGCCAGCTCCTGGCCTGCACATGAGGCCATGCATGATGACCCAGAACAGCACAGTGAAGCAGATGGGACTATGGATGGGGCCTGTGGCTCTGGACATGGCGTGAAGTGGGCAGCAGGGGGAGGACCCATGGACCCCTGCAGTGGTTTGGACCGGCAGATGGGATTACAGAGTTAGTTTGTTCCAAAAAAAACTAACTCTGTTTGTTCATGAAGTGACAACCTGCAACAATCAAGCAACTGCTGGCTGGCTAGGTGCGGCTGCACTGCCACATGAATGGCCCATATGACCACGACTAAAAAAAAGGCAATTTTTGCGATATGGCCATCGAATTTGTTTCTATCCTTAGTCCCAGGTTGGGGCCTTTAGCTGTCCTAGGTGGGAGCGAGGCAGTGCCAGGCGTGGTTGCTAGAAACCATGCGTGATTGCCTAACATCCTTGATGCGCCATCTTTATTGTAAGGTCAGCCAATTTACTGCTAAAATAGCAGCTGTTGATCATCTAGACCGCATTTTGCAAATTCAGAGTTAAGGATTATGCGACGAGCAATTATTCATGCTGACAACGCAAAGTTGTCGTACGGTATAGCATGACAGATCCGTTTGTGATCCTACACGACTTTGGTATGACGCGTTTAGAAACTTTGGTATGACGGTTCGGAGGCCAAAGCATCGTGGACAATACTGCAAGAACGAAGCCACCATAAATCTAGCAACAACTTATGATTCCCTGAGTGCCTACTGAAGTTACTCTTTTGTTAACTTGCTGGTCTTCTATTCTTGGTCCGCCTCGCATAACAAACGACGAATTGCAAAGGAGAGCAAGCACTGTAAGGAAACGCAACGCAAAAACGATGGTGCGCGTTCCGCTCTTCGCGGCGCTCGCGGTCCTCCTAGTCGCCAGCTGCGCCAGCTTCAGGGCCCAAGCTGGACGCATCGAGGAACCGACCGACCGACAGCAGGTTGGTGCTTTGCATGCGTGCACAGTAGCAGAGGAGAGAGAGAGGAAGCGAAAAGCTGTGTACAGGTCTTGGTTCCTAACCACCACGTTTTTAACGCAAAAATTTTATTGCTTTGATGAATAGGTGGATAGGTAAGGGTAGTATTTTGTCTGGACAGCATCCTTCTGAAGGCCGGTTTAGCGATTTCCCAAGCTTGCATGCGCGACCTGGGCGGCTGCATATTTCTTCCCACAGCAGGCACAAAAGCGCAGCCTGGTCGCGTAGTTCTTGCCACGGGACCCTGCCGGCGAAAGTATTCGTGTCGTGGCGTCGTTATCATCGTAAACGCGCTGTGCGACGTCGTGTGACCCGCGGGTCGTTAGCAGCGCTCCAGCAGGTCGACACCCTGCTGATGAGGTTTCACTTCCATTTTATAAATCTTTTGCGTTCGCATTTAGAAATTTAGGAATATGGAAATTCTCCCACCGCAATCTACATACAATAATAGTACAATGTCGTTATTCTGTAATTACTGCTGCTCGCACATCATGTTGTTGTTGTTGTTGTTGTTGTTACATGGTCGTGGGTGCGTTCCCCGTACCTGCAAACCACCCTAGTACGAGCCGAGGGCTCAAGGGCTGCCAAATCGCCTATAAGCACCATCCTACCTCGCACTTCCAACGAAACAAGTAATGAAGTATACTAACGACCAAAGGGAACGATAGAGTTGCGGTGAGACCATATACGTTCCAGCATTCTTGCCAGGCGTCCAGGTTCCCACTTCATAGCGTCCTTCATATGTTCGAAGCGTGGAAAGCCCATATCAGATCTGATTCCGTCGTAAACCGGACAGTCCAGCAAAATGTGTTTCTCATCCTCGATGTGGCTATCAGTGCCGCAGCAGGGGCATACTCGCTCCTCCCTAGGTATATAACGCCGTCCCTTACGCGCTCTGTTAGCCGCCAGTGCCCAACAGCAAAGCCTAAACTGCATAAGCTTGCAATTCGCCGAACGTGGGATAAACATTGTGATGTGCGGGAGCACCTCCTTTCCTGCCCGCTGCTTCGGCCGCCAGCCCCATCCAATGCTTATACTTCGCCATGTGAATTCCTGGTTGTTTGCCGTCTGACGGATACACGTCAGGCTGGACATCTAAACGTGTATGCTTCCAACCACTCACTAATCGGTCCTTGAACTCCGAAATCACACCTTCTGGCATTGGCTTGTTCATCAGCCACTCCACTCGTTCGTCTACCTCGTGTAGCCCTTGCGGGGCCTCTTTCCATACATCGTGCCCCAAAAAACATAGAAAACGGAGGAGTAGTGTCCCCCATCCGGGCCCTTCGGGGTTGGAGAGGGATTCTGCGACCTCCTGTCGCAAAACTTGGTATGCCACAGACCCACGCTGTAAACGGACATGGTTCCAAAACCTCACAACCTGCTTGAGAACGTGGTAGTGTAGGGGTAGCTGCGATAGCTCTGCGAACAAGAGGCGGTGTGTTGGTCTGGCAGCTCCTACAATTTCGGCACATCATGTACCATCATGTACACGACCACGCCCGCATGCATCCCGCACATACATACAACTTGCGGGGCGTGTGCAGGTGATTAGCTGGCAGCCTCCAAGCTTCTGTCGCGGCAAGGATTGTCCCGAGTACCAGGTGCAGGAATCTCGCGACGACGTTGAGCTGCGGCGTTACAAGAAAGGTAAAATATTATAAAGAAATGATGGGAAAGGAAATATTAAGGTGGGAAATGGCTGCCGGCTACGTAGCTTCTGCTTACATATAACTTGCGTAAAAGCTTCAAGACGTTTTTGACGTTTTTGTGTTACAAGCTTTCGAGCTTGTACGGTCCAAACGAGCCAAGAGGCTCATGAACCGCCGAACTGGAAACAAGAACATATAAAGGTAGTAAATTAACCTTACTGCAAAAACATATTTAATCATCAATAAATTGTAACCTGCATCTTCTGATATGATCCAAAACATGTGCTAGTCCGCGTTGGTTCTCAACGCCCATAACGTCTATCATGCGATCCTCAGGAGACACTCCAAGCTCAAATAGCTTGGTGCGAATATCCGCGTACGCAGGGCACTCAAGCAAAACATGACGCTCGTCCTCAACTGCTTGACGGTTCCCACATACACGACACCACCGCGCTGCTCTTTCCCTGCCATGAGGACGATTCACTGCAAGCGGCCACACACACATCCTAAAACGCATCAGCGTGACATGTTGCTTCGGCGAAATATATCCAGTGCAGTGCTTAGGCAACCCCATCCACTGCTTGTACCGGCACATTTTCACCCCTGGTTGTTTGTTGTCGGAAACAAATGTCCTAGGATCCATTTCTAGTCGCTCACTCTCCCAATCGTCATCAAATCGCCCGCGTAACTCCTGCATCAACTGGCCTATATCCAACGAACATGACGTGAGCGCATCAACTCTAGCCTCAACATCCTCATCTCCCGCCATGTCATGACCAAGAATCTCGAGTATCTTCAGAACCTTCGAACCCCAACCATCGTACGCCATGGATGAAATTAAAGCCAAACGTATCTCCTCTCTGAAGCAATGATGGTACACGGTGCCCTTCGCCTTAACCAGCTTATTCCAAAAACGGAATATCAGATTCGCCCTGTGAACTTGCAAGGGATATTGTCCAAACTCCCTAAACAACAGTCGATTCGTGGGAAGCCCCGCACCACCCAGTTGCTTTAGGAAGGCCTTCTGCAATTCGACCATCCTGTCCTGTAGCGAGTTATCGAAGTAACACGAGCGCGGTTCCTGGTTACGAGGATATCCTCTTTCCAGCACATCTAGAACCTTGGTCGGACCCCACACCTGCACTCCGTATGACAAAATGGATAGTACTTGTGCGTCAAACGCCTTCACCGAAACAGCTGGGACAAACAATCCCTGCCTCTTAAGCTTGGTAGTCAACGAGAAAAGCGCCCTTTGCCCTGACGCAAATAGTTCGTCTGTGCATGATTCAAACGGCACACCTGGCCCGTAGTGTAGGCCCAAATATCGTGCGCGTTCCTTCCATGGTAATGACCGAACCACGTGCCCAGCGCTCTCTTTAACGCTCATGGTGACCAGCCCGTACGAACCCAGGGTATACATGGCCTTGCGGGCGCTCTGATCCCCGTGAAAAAACATGACCTCACACTTTCCCACATTCACCTTCATGCCAAAAGCTCCACACCATTCCTCCAGCGCACGAAGCAGCGCCATCAACCGCCTGTGTGACCCTGCGAAAAGACTAAGATCATCTGCATATAACATCAATGGAATACGCATGCCATCGCTCAGCGGACAATCGTGGGCCGCCATGGCATCAGGTGCAAGTCGATCCTTAGCCTCCACGTAGTCTGCGAACCCTTCCCCAAAAATGCCGTACAAAGTTGGGCTTAACGGGCATCCCTGTTTAACCCCCTGTAACGAGAAGAACGAGTCCCCCAGAACACCATTAATATTAACTCTGAGTTCTACCCTCCGGTAGCAAGCCTTTAACGCCTCCAGAGTGGCACCCGTCACTCCTCTCTCCTCTAACCGCATCCAAAGCAATTCCCTAGGGACCTTATCAAACGCCTTCTCGAAAGCTTCAAGACCCTAGTAATTGCTCTTCTTTGTATTGTATGTGTGCGCGGTATTTTACTTGATTATGTGAAATGTAATATAATGGATAACCTGCAGGTTGAAATCAATATAAAAATCAATATAAATGGAAACAATAATTAAACCAGCAGAACCAGAGAACCAGAGAATAAACAGGACGCCCTTGCCGCCCTCCGGTTGGCAGACCAACTAACCAACGAAGGAAACAACTAACAACTAATCTACATAATTGACAACCAATGGATCTGTGCGTATGTGTACGACGTGTTCGTGTGAATGCCCGCCCCTTTCGAAGCTCACTGGATCTCCACCAACGTGACTAATGCTAAATTCGGCGACGCGTACGACGAGGGCTACAAGGTGTGTCGTACTTGATATAAAAATATAGGATACATTTAAACATTGCTTGGGGGAAGGAACAAGCACAAGCTGTGCAAGGGGTTTGTCGAGTTGGGATGTGAACGAACTCGACATGGCTTCATCGCCGAGAATTTCGCACCAACTTCACTAACCACTGACTGTAATACTACCAGGTACCTCTCGGAAATTTGGGAGGCCAGGCACGTCGCGCTGAGGCGCTTCAACCTGAAGCGGGCGAGGGAGAATATATATAAGATGACCTCCCTCGTCAATACCCGCATCAATACCAATACAACGTCCATGGGCCCCCCCAGCTTTTACGGACACACCCGCACTTGTGTGCGGAACTAGTAACTTGTAAGTAGTAATACCGCATGGGTCGTACAGACTGAGCCGTACTGGGAGTTTTACCATGTCGTTAGGAAAACTACTAACATTTTTTCCTCGCTTTTTCCTCGTCGGACAAATTATGTCTTTTCATCATTATCATCTTTTTTTACTCGTCCAATAACAAACAACAACATCTTTTCAGCCGCCTGTCACACGTGCACCGTGCACGTGACGTGTGCCTTGCAGCGACTGCAAAAGTACGTGTCTGGCGACAACGTCGACGCCACCAAACTGCCGCAAACGAACCCCTCCTTCATGATCCTCTACGTCGCCGATGCCAAGGCCCATACCCTGCAGAATACCTTCACAGTAGAGTACTTCGTGCCCTTCGAGCTGCAGGTAATTATGATGATGACGTGATGCCGATAATAATATACGGCCGATAATAATATACGCACATATCAAGGTTATTGGTCGTGTGAATGAAAAAAAGGGGAGACAAAAAAGTAAAAAGAAGTTTTCTGTGTTGGCAGATTAGCAGAAGCAGAAAAGGAGTGAATGACCGTACGACGGCATGGTGATTGTACGAGTCTACGGCGCATGTACGAGTTTACGGCGAACGATAATGTGCAACAGGGCACGCAAGCACACCGCCTTTTGAGCTAAGAGCTTTTCGCTGTTCGGTTTGTTTGCATTTGGCGCATTTCCTTCCTTGTCTAATGTCCTGCAACGTGGGGCCCCGCCGTCACCGCCGTGGGTGCGAGCTCACGGCATGATCCCCAAGAAAGGGCAATCCCACCACCCAGTGCGTTTGTCATCTTTATCATTTCCCGACTCTCCTTTTCTTCGTCCTTTCGCCGCGCCTCGTCATCCTCCGCGACAGCTGCGTCGCGCGCCTCCCAACCCGCGTGTGTGTGTGTGTGTATGTGTGTGTGTGTGTTACATGGTTGGGGGTGCGTGACCCCATACCTGTAAAACGAGCCGAAGGCCCTCGCCTAGATAAATAATACATCTATTCTCCTCTGCCGTTTGCAGGATAAGCCCCCCAAGCCCAATTCCACAGAACTGGCGGTTACCCCGGTTAACGAGCAGGACGTGTGGGTGGTGTCGTTCGGAGGCTTCGCGACGGAGGATGTGGTCATTCAACGGGTATGTCCGTACATACATACAGACAGATATTATATAAGTACTTGAAACTAATATTTTTGTTCTATTAGGAAAGTTGAAGGAAATTGAAGTCCTTCCAAATTGCTGTATATTGTGATTTTTTCGCAAATTTTTCGCAAATTTTTCTCTGAAATGTCGCCCTTTCCAGGTGGTATTGCTTTCCCCTCTCCGAAACTCACGTGTGCTGAAATGATTTTTTATGTTCAGGGCTTTGAGTTCATCGACAACCTGACGGGCGGTGGCATCGACGTCCACACGGAATTCATCGGTCTGGCGCTGTACGACCAACCGGCTCGTCTCGTCAAGCGCCACAACGAGATATGGTTGTGGCCGAAATCGCAGCCGCCGTCGGCTAGCGGGGGCACCGCTGCCAGCAGCACTGTTGACGGTGAGGTCGACATCGCGATGCGGTTCAAGCGCATTTTTGAGGCTGTGGTGAAGCGAATGATGAATGTGGCAGGAAATGAAAATTAAGGGGAGGGAGGAGTTGAAGAGAATCTAAGGGAGGAGGTTATAGGGAAGGAGGCCAAGGGGGAAGGGAGTAACTTTTTGCTCCATTTTTGGTCCTTTCTTTGTTGACTGTTTGTTTGCTCATGTGCCTGCTCATGTGTTTTTTGTATGTTCGGCATCTGTTTGAGAGTTGGGAGGAGGAGGTAGTGGTTATATGTAGGGCCGTCCGGGCGGGCGGGCGGACGCGTGGGAGGGTGTGTGGACGCGAGGTGAAGGCCGCCCAGAACAGTCATTTCGCAGCAGTTGCAATTGATATCGGACGGGACGATGGACAGGAACGTTGTTTTGGTGCCACAAAACAGCAAATAAAAGAGAGTTGTAATTTTGTTGATTGGGTTTCTCGCGGTGGGAAAGGCGAATACTTTCCGTTGCTTTTGGTCGTGGAAGCTCGCGACGGTGAGTTTTAATTTTTTGGCCGAAACGCGAGATGACGATGTAGTGGGTCACGGTGGTCGTACAATCGAATATCATATAACACATTAAAACAATAAATAGTCATGTCCCTGATGCAG